GGTGGGGTGGAAGCTGTTGAAATCGTGGTGGAATTCTTCCAGAGTTTCCTTCCCATGGGTCCAGATGATGAAGATGTCATCAATGTAGCATAGGTAGAGAAGGGGAGTGAGTAGACGAGAGCTGAGGAAGCGTTGTTCTAGGTCAGCCATAAAAATGTTGGCATATTGTGGGGCCGTGCAGGTGCCCATAGCAGTGCCACTGGTCTGGAGGTATATATTGTCACCAAATCTGAAATAATTGTGTGTGAGGATAAAGTCACAGAGCTCAGCCACCAGTTGTGCTGTAGCATCATCAGGGATACTGTTCCTGACAGCTTGTATTCCATCTATGTGTGGGATGTTTGTGTAGAGAGCCTTTACATCCATGGTGGCTAGGATGGTGTTTTCTGGAAGATCACCAATGCATTGTAGTTTTCTCAGGAAATCAGTGGTGTCACGGAGATAGCTGGGAGTGCTGGTGGCATAGGGTCTGAGTAGAGAGTCCACATATCCAGACAGTCGTTCAGTGAGAGTGCCAATGCCCGAGATGATGGGGTGTCCAGAATTTCCAAGTTTGTAGATCTTTGGTAGTAGACAGAATAACCCTGCTCGGGGCTCTAAGCATATGTTGAGTTGTTCCTGTGTTTGTGTAGGGAGTGTCCTGAGCAGATGGTGTAGTTTCTTAGTGTATTCTTCAGTGGGATCTGAGGGATGTGGTCTGCAGAATTTGGTATTGGAGAGTTTTCTGACAGCCTCCTTTTGGTAGTCAGACCTGTTCATGATGACAACAGCACTTCCTTTATCAGCCTCTTTGATTATAATGTCGGAGTAGTTTCTGAGGCTGTGGATGGCATTGCATTCTGCATGACTGAGGTTATGAAGCAAGCGATGCTGTTTTTCCACAATTTCTGCCTGTGCGCGTTGGTGGAAGCATTCTATGTATAGGTCCAGACTGTCATTTTGACCATCAGGAGGAGTCCATGTGGAGTTCTTCTTGTGCTGTTGATGGGAGGGAATCTGTGTGTCAGTGCACAGTTCAGTGTTGTGTTGAAAGTATTCTTTGAGTTGGAGACTGCGAAAGTATGCTTCCAGATCACCACAGAATGGTATTATGTTTGTGGGGGTGGTGGGGCAAGAAGAGAGTCCTCCAGATAGGACAGACTATTCTGCTGGGCTGAGCGTGTAGTTGGATAGATTAATGATATTGCTGGGTGAGTTAGGGGTACCACTGCTGTGGCCAGTATGGTTTTAGACAGCTTACAGTCCTTTTTCCTCTGTAGGGAAGTGAAGTGTATAATTTGAATTAATGGAGATTGCCTATCTCCTAGAGCTGGAAGGGCCCTTGAAAGGTCATCGAGTCCAGTCCCCTGCCTTCACAGCAGGACCAAGTACCATCCCTGACAAATATTTTTCCCTAATGGCCTCTGCAGGGATTGAATTCACAACCCTGGGTTTAATCAGGCAAATGCTCAAACCACTGAGCTATCCCTCCCCTCTATGTAGTTCTCCTGTCTTATTTTAGTAAAGTCCGTTTCTATGGAAGGCTGGTTTTTTATGAAAGTCTCCAGATTGGAGAGCTCTTTTTTGATGTTTTCCTGATTGCTGTACAGGATGCTGATCAAGTGGTTCCTCAGTTTCTTTGATAGTGTATGGCATAATCTCTCACTGTGGTCTATGCAGTATGTAGATAGCAATGGAGTTTTCACCTTTAGTCCATTGGGTATGATGTCCATCTGTTGGCATTTGGAGAGAAAGATGATAACTGTCTGTACTTGTGCAAATTTCTTCATGAGGGTGGTGGATTTCCACTCCGTATGGCTAAATGCAGTGCCTTGCATGGTGTCAAGTATCAGAGGCTGCTTCTCCTCTCTTGGTATTCACACCTCCAGATCAGCTGCTAGAAGTGGGCCTCATCCTCCCTGATTGAATTAACCTCCTTATCTCTAGCCTGATTCTGGCCTGCATATTTATACCTTCTTCTGGATATTTCCACTTGACTACATGCATCTGACAAAGCGGGTCTTTACCCACAAAAGCTTATGCTCCAATATATCTGTAGTCTATAAGATGCTACAGGACTCCTTGTCGCTTTTGAAGATCCAGACTAACACAGCTACCCCTCTGATACTTGATACCATGTGCTATAGTGCTTTGCTGGATCAGCTCCTAAACTCCTAGAAGATTGATCCAAAAGCCATTGGGCTCTGGATCAGGCTATACAAGCACAGTGACAGAATATAAAACTTATTGATTATAACATAGATGTGTACACAAAATCATAATCACATTTTCCCCACAATTCTTCAAGTACAAAGAGAAACTACACAAACAGAAGTAGATTCAGTAACCACAGAGCTTGGCACTATGGTGAGGCAGTGTACCGTAAGGGGGTGTGATTTCTAAAGCGCATTAATGTGTTGCATATTTATCAGTCTATGTAGACTCTTCTGGTGTGCACTAAAGCACTCTAATGTAATACTATTTCAAACAGTACAGCATTAAAGCGTTCCAGCAGTGTACCCAGACCAATTAATGCACAAATGTTAACATGATTTATCCCTCTGTGTAGACAAGCCTTTGGATACCTTATTGTCAGAGGCTCAACACATCAACCAGAACCACATTCAACAAAAGGTCTCCATTTTACATTTAAAGTGTGATGCACATGCAGGCTAATGGTTGACAGGGAGCATGGTTGATTATGGTGCCCCCCCCATATGTAATTCAAAATAAAAACAATACTATACCGTAAAATCTCTTTTTTGTGTGTGTGTGTGCCCCTGCTTTGCTGGTGCCCTAAGCACATGCTTAGTCTGCCTATTGGGTAATCCAGCCCTGGCAGGGAGTAAAGTTAAAGATGTTGTGGTCACCTTTTTTGTGCATGTAAGTTTACACTTGAAATATTCCTACAGAATTTAATATGGGTGAAACAAATACATCTGTACAGAAATTATTCTAAAAGCCTCTAGAATATACTGAAGATTAATCATTTTTTAAATGGTTTATTAAATCATTCTAAAGGATTATGTCCCAACTATAGAGACTAAATCCCAGAATGCAGTGACACTAAAAAGGACTTAGGCATTATGACAGATAACCAATGATATATTAGTTTCCTGTGTGATGCTGTATCTAAGAGAGTGAATGGGATCTTTGATTATGTATGATCAGTGGAATGTCAAATAGGAGTAAGGAGATGGTTTTGCCCTTGCATACAGCATTAGTGAGACCATCACTGGAATACTGCACTCAGTTCCAGTATCCATACCTCCAAAAGGATGTTGAAAAATTGGAAGGGTCCAGAAAAGAGGTACAAGAATGATTTGAAGCCTGAAAAACCTAATGAATATCAATAAAAAAAGTTTCTTTTTGACACTAAAAATGTTATAAAAACTGTCATAAAAACCTTGTGATTTGTGTTACCTAGTGCAGGGGTGGTCAATGGGTGGACCACAGTCCAAATCCAGACCACCAGACACTTTTGAACAGGCCCCAAAATCTTTATATATAGTAATTATTATCGTTGTTATTATTATTTTTTATTATTTTCCCTTGCATCTGGACCTTGACTATATCTTCACCAACAAATTTGGACCTTAACAAAAAACAACTGATTACCCCTTCCATAGTGTGTAGCATCCTTAGTCATGGACCAGGATCCCACTGTGCCAGATGCTACGCAAACATAGAACAAAAGACAGCTCTTGACATATTTTGTAAATTTTATATAATAGAATGAATATAAAAAGAAAAGGTTGACAGTGCCAGTTAGCTAAGATTTAGTATTCTCATACAGAGCCCAATCCTGTGCCCAGGGGAGTTAGTGCTAAGGCTTTCAGTGACTTCAGCTGGACAGGACCAATCAAACCTTTATTTAATGGGCTTATTTCTCCTTCAGTTATGTATTAGGTGGCTTGAGTCTCCCTTCAGTTACGTATTAGGTGGCTTGCAGAATAGCTGCTTTGCCAGCTTTGACAGGACAATTTGTGCTTCAAGTTGTTTTGAAGATTTATGGACATACCCGTATATACTCGAGTATAAGCCGACCCGAATATAAGCCGAGGCACCTAATTTTACCACAAAGAACTGGGAAAAAATATTGACTCGAGTATAAGCCTAGGGTAGGAAATGAGGCAGCTACTGGTAAATGTAAAAAATGAAGATAGATACCAATAAAATTACATGAAGAGATTGTGGTCTTTGAAGTAGCTGGGGCTTGATCCATCCATGGCATTGACGAGTAGGATCAAAGCCTTAAACTGGCATTGGTAGCTGACATACAGCCAGGGTCTCCAGCACGGAGAAGGCAAGCAGCTACAGTCTTTATCATCTGCAGGCTCTGAATCAGCTCTGCCATGACATCTCATGATGAGCCAGAGGAGAAGACTTGAGACACTCACCGGGTCTGCCTCTGTGTTCTTAACTAGGAACCCCCGAGCAGCTGCAACCCAAGCGGCCGGCAGAGGCTCCGAGCGCCCCGCGCAGCGACGGCCCCCGACACACGGAGCCCAGCCCGCTCCCGGCAGCGCCCCCCGCCCCGAGCACCTCGGTTACCGGGGCCGGAGCTCCGGGCTCACGCGGCTAGACCCGGCCGGCGGCAGAGACGCGCTGAGCCCGCCCGCCTCAGTTCTCGAGACGCTGACTCGAGTATAAGCCGAGGGGGGCATTTTTCAGCACAAAAAATGTGCTGAAAAACTCGGCTTATACTCGAGTATATACGGTACTTTTCTACCCGAAAGAATTTTGTTTTATAATTTCTTTAACATGTAATGATCAGTCTTTACACTTCTGCTTCTCAATGACAGATAATTTGTTTGTTCAAATAAATTCAACTAGAAACAATCATTACCTTGGTAAGTACACCTGTTCAAATCAGCTGTGTCAAGCAACATCCTTTCTGTTTTATGTTAATAGGCACTTTTGTCTCTTCTGCATATATTCAAGTCAATAGTTATGCAATTTGCAGGAATAAGACTTTGCTTATTTGCCAGCTTGTGTTGATAACTATTGTTTGTGTTTAGGACATGATGCTTCAGCTGTTGCGAGGGCTGGATTTTCTGCATTCACACAGAGTGGTGCACCGTGATCTGAAACCACAAAATATCCTCGTAACAAGCAGTGGGCAGATAAAATTAGCCGACTTTGGCCTTGCACGAATCTACAGTTTTCAGATGGCTCTTACCTCAGTGGTAAGTTTCAAAATGCTATTTTCATCCTCAGTAATATGCTCTATTTCCTATGTTAATATAGTCAGTAGTTCCAGAGAATTATAACTGTGCTTTATTACTGATTATTGGCTCTGAATTACATAAGGACTGATTAATGAGGCTGAGATATGTACTTGTCTTTTAAGCATAGAATGGTGTTCTGGGAGCTCCCAAGTTATAATTCTTGTTATATTGACTCTATATGTACATAGCTTTGGGCCAGCCAATTAGGGTATGGTTTTCAAACATGCTAACGTTATTTAAGAAAACAAGTCCAATTGTTTTCTGTTGGTGCTCTAAAATCACATTGGTACTTTGAAAAATCCCATACTTAGGGTTGCTATTTTACATATGCATGCACGTGGATTGTACTTCTTACTCCCATACTTTTCAGTTGTGATAATTAGTGAGTGATTATTAATGTACTGAAGATTAAATGTGCTACTAGTTTGGTTTTGTGTTCTGCTTGTTAGATTTACTGGGTAGGAATGGTGTCCCTAACCTCTGTTTGTCAGGGGCTGGAAATGGATGACAGAAGAGGGATCACATGCTGATTATCTGTTTCTGTTCACTCACTCTGGGGCATCTGGCATTGGCCACTGTTGGCAGACAGGATACTGAACTAGACAAACCTTTGGTCTGACCCAGGATGGCCATTCTTATGTTTCCCTTTGCCATCCTGAGTGCTATATTTACCATGACAGTGTCACTTTTACTTAGGACAAGAAAGATAGGATTTATAAGGAAAGACATTGAAAGTAATATCCATTATATTTATGTATTTTACTTTAGAAATTAATCCATTGATAAAAAGTAATCTGTTGCTATTTTTGCCCCTTTTCAAGTCAAATGGCTAATCAAAGTGGATGTTCCAGTTAGGAATCGAAATCAGTGATTAGAAATTGGTGATTAGATATTTCTTTTGTCCAGTTTTGTTTATGGACAAAGTCCTGCATCTGTGCATACTGAGGGAATCAAATAGCAGGAAATAGCTTTCTTTTGCTCATAGCATCAAAGTCTTTTTAGCCTGCACCTCAACTCAGAAAACCTATCTTAAGCTTTTTTTCCAGAGTCAGATATGCTTTTTTCAGCCTCTGCTTTGGGCTGTCTCTCCTACTCAGTCTGTTCTTACCTGTTCACGTTTTCTGTGTATCCTCTCCCACACTTCCTGTGCCCCCGCATGGTTAGATTACTCAGTTAAACCCTCCATCCAACAGTGCTAGTTTGTGGACAAACTCTTTTAGGTTTTAACAAAATACAGGACTATGTAGCATTTTAAAGACTAACAAGATGGTTTATTAGATGATGAGCTTTCGTGGGCCAGACCCACTTCTTCAGATCAAATAGTGGAAGAAAATAGTCACAACCATATATACCAAAGGATACAATTAAAAAAAAGTGAACACATATGAAAAGGACAAATCACATTTCAGAACAGAAGGGGGATGCAGGGGGGGGGGGGGGAAGAAAGGTAAATGTCTGTGAGCTAATGGTATTACAGGTGATAATGGATATCACATATGAAAGTGGGTCTGGCCCACGAAAGCTCATCATCTAATAAACCATCTTGTTAGTCTTTAAAGTGCTACATAGTCCTATATTTTGTTTCAGCTACAGCAGACTAACACGGCTACATTTCTATCACTCTTTTAGGTTTTGTTTTAAGTGTGGCCTCCTCAACTGTCTCTTAGTACTACTGATTTAAATGGAGGAGGGAGATAGCTATGTTTGTCCCAGGATATGAGAAAGACAAGGCGAGTGAGGTAATATCTTTTATACCAGCTTCTGTTGGAGGGAGAGAGAAGCTTTTGAGCTTACACAAAAGCTCTTCTTCAGGACAGAGTTTGTTCAATGAAATATATTACTCTTCAGCCACCCAATCTCTCTTTAATAAGGGAGTCATTCACACATCAGTTTAAAGAGATTTTATTCAGCTGATAACAAGATTTCACCTGGCGTGTAGCAATATAATTAGTTAACTGCAAGGGCCCTACCACATTTGTAAAGCATGACAGAATGCTCTGGTTTCCTGCTTCAGCATGAATGAAGACAGAAAATTATATCATCATGTTATTAAACAGGAGGAAGCGTCTTCTGCATTTCAGACATGTGCAGACTGGCAAGTCACTGTTTTGGGTTTTTTCATGAATGTTTCTTAAGGACTGATTCGAAGACAATAGTTATCTTGCCGCTGATTTCAGTGGGGACTGATTCTGGCTCTTGGAAGTATTAAAGAAAGGGGTGGCAGTGGGCAGAGGGTAAGAGGCTCTCCTTAAACTTGCATAACTGTTGATATGTCAGCAGCTCATTCAGTCACAGCCAGTGTTCTCTATAAGCTGTGAGCTTGTGTGGCTGCTCAGGAGAAATTCAGATGTCACCTGGCTGATTAGCAGAGTGCCCAACTAGGTTTTGTGTTTCTATAGGTGGTGCACATTCATACATGCCTTGGTGTGCATAAAATTTTATTCTGCACATGCATGAAAAAAGTCCATACATTGTATAAAAGAGCTTTTTCATCCAAGCTTATAGCAATATAGCTCATTCCCAGCAATATTCTGGTATAATGGTGTCCACACAAGGGCTTCTACTTGTATAATTATTTTGATAAATCTTATACTTAGCTAAAAGAGTGATACAGATACACCTTCTTAAGTGTAGGACAAGCCTAACTTAATTGAAAACACTGCTTAGCTCCAAGCATAGAGGCAGTTTAGTGCCTTTAAAATCACATTGGCTGGCATGCTGTAACCTAGTGGGGACCCTTGTTTATAACGTGACCATCCACCATGATTATAAACATCATTATCCTTGTCTAAACTATGTAATTAATGGTGTTTAATACACATTACTTAATATGAGTTAGCTAACATATTAGTCTAAATGATGGACTTTATCTGTGTTTTGGTGATGTAATGTGTCATTTGCTATCTATTAAAAAGGAGTAGTCCTGTGGCACCCTCGAGACTGACAAAAAATATATAGAGAATCATGAGCTTTCGTAGGTAAAACTGCTCACTGCTTCCATCCACGGGGAGCCTCAGGAAGTGGCAGCCGCTTCCCACGACTCCCTTTGGCTGGAAATAGCGAACTGGAGCCAATGAGAGTAGCGAGGCTCCATGGCTATGGCACCTTTAGATGAATAAACCAGAGCAGCCTGTTAGCAGCTTTCTCAACGTGGGCCACTTTGAGAAACATTGTTCTAGCAGTGTGTCAGTTAATAAAATTCCTACACTGTAGGGCTGTGTCTAGACTGGCCAGTTTTTCCGGAAAATCAGCCACTTTTCCGGAAAAACTTGCCAGCTGTCTACACTGGCCGCTTGAATTTCTGCAAAAGCACTGACGATCTCATGTAAGATTGTCAGTGTTCTTGCGGAAATACTGTGCTGCTCCCATTCGGGCAAAAGTCCTTTTGCGCAAAACTTTTGCGCAAAAGGGCCAGTGTAGACAGCTGAGATTTGTTTTGCGCAAAAAAGCCCCGATGACGAAAATGGCGATCGGGGCTTTTTTGCGGAAAGGCACGTCTAGACCGGCACAGACGCTTTTCCGCAAAAAGTGCTTTTGCGGAAAAGCGTTCGTGCCAATCTAGACGCTCTGTTCCGAAAATGCTTTTAACGGAAAACTTTTTCGTTAAAAGCATTTCCGGAAAATCATGCCAGTCTAGACGTAGCCTAGGGGTATAGGTTAGCGTATCATTCCTGTCTCTGCATTCTATTGCTTTTATGTGATAAAGGTACATTTTAAGAGCTATCACTGATCCAGTGACATGAGATCTCTGCATCATTTCTTTCAACAGAGAGCTTACAGCAAGATAAGCTACAAGAAACATCTTTTGAGGTATCAGATCATCCCAAGATACATCCACATTCTTTAGTCACAAAGGAACTCTTTAGATAGGACAAAAAGAGCTCACCATGAAAGTAATCCAGTAAAAAGAACTGATCTAGCCCTAGTTCATTGGGTGCTGCAAATGAGTAACTTCAAAGCAGTTTTTCAGTGACAGCCAGTTATTTCCACAATGCTAAAGAATTCTTCTGGCAGGTCAGTCTCCTGGGCATCATGTTGTCTTTTAAAGAAGAAATCTCTTGATACTTCGTCCAGTTAATGAATAAAACTTTCAGGATAATGTGACACATGTTTAAGGGGCAGAATACTAGTCCCAGCTGTGGTCAAACCAAGAAGTGATAGAGATCAGAAATAATAGTAGTAGACAGAATAATTCCTGGGCTTTTTCTCAAATGGGGAAGAATGAATCAGCCTTTCAATTTCTCATGAAGTTGGATTGTCTGTCTGATCGTCTTGGCTCTTGGGAGCATTTTGAATAGGTTTTGTGATAATAAGAGATGCAGTGAGGGTTGAAGAGAGAAGAGAGGTTGATATGGTTATGTAATTTTAGAGTTAAATGGGTAAGTAAATGAGCTGTTGCTTTTCTCTGTGGTTCAGAAAAATGGGCACTAAGTTCTAGTTTGGCAACACTTGCCCTAGACAGAGGAGCAGGTCCACAAGTGAAAATGGTAAGGCTAAAGTATAAAGAAAGAATAGTCCATTTAGTGTTCAGAATTGTAAATATGTAAGATTGCCATAGATAAAGGAAATGTATATTAAATTGCTGGGTATCAGAGAGCGAAGTGAGATGAGCACATATAATTGTGATCAGAGCGTCTTAGCCCATCCTACTGCATATGTCGAAATTTTAAATAATAATTTAACTCCAGAAAAATTAAGCCAAACTGGAAAGAGTTTAGTGTTTGTAAAACACTCATACTAGCCTTTTGGAAAACTTGTGGTTTAGATTAGATGTCAGAGCTGCTGACTTTTTTCCCTCCCTGAAATGAAAACAAAATTGTTCTATTTTGCTATTTTTCCTTTTATGAATCTTATTTTTATAATTGCTCAAAGTTTGAGAGGGGGGAATCAGTTTCTCTGTTAATACACTAAATTGTTTATACTGAGATCAGCTGAAGAGATTGAGAAATTTTTAAAAC